ATTCTGAGAAGTGTCTGTTCATTTCAGATGCCCATTTTTGGATTGGATCTTTTGTATTTGAAGGGGTCTGACTGTTTTAGAGTTCTCTATAGATGCTAGACGTTCGTCCTCTGTTTGAGGGATAGCTGGCGACTTTTTTCCCATTCTGTATGTTGTCTCTTCACTGGTTTTTTTTCTTTGCTGCACAGAAGACTGTTAATTTGATATGATCCCATTTGTTGATTCTTGGTGCTATTTCTTGTGCCCTCAAGGTTCTGTTTGGAGCATCCTTGCCTACACCTATGTCTTCTAGACAGAGGCCTCTTTTACTTTCCAGCAGGTTAAGTATTTCTGTTTGAATACTTAAATCCTCAATCCATTTTTATTTCAGTTTAATGTATAGCAAGACATGTGGTTATAGACTCAGTCTTTGATATGTGCACATCCAGCTCCGCCAGCGCCGTGTGTGGAAGAGGCAATCTTCCTCCAGCGCGTGCTTTGGCCCCTTTATCAAAGATCAAACACTGAAAGCCCCTGGGTGTGTTCCTGTTTCCATAATCCATTGTAATGGGTATATTTTCAAGGTATACTCTTCCAGTAGAACATGTACCCCCGAAACCAGAAATTTTATTCTGACTGTGACTCTTGGACTAATTCTTGGATACTGACCACCATCAGGCATCATCTCTGGGGTGTGATTTGAAAGGATCCACATGGGGTGACATACCACCTTCCTTCCATCCTGCCTTCTCAAGACAGCTGTTCAACTGCAAGTATTCCCCACCCCAAAGACACAAGGCTTCAAACTCTTTGGTGAAGAATTAGGAGAAGAGATCATTTTTTTTCTCCTCTAAAGAACCAGTGGCATCTGGGGCATCTGGGAGATGCTAGAGGCCTAGAAGCTCTTTGAAAGGAAAACGAAGCCTTCATTACCACTGATAGTTGTTGAATGGAAGAACAACAGATTACCTGAGCTGAGGGGCCTCAGGGGGGCCCTTCCTCAGCGGCACCCGTCACTTGCTGGTGGTGCAGTTTCTCAGGCCTCACCTTAGACCTGCTGGGCCAGAAGCTCTGAGTATGGGGACCCCCTAACAATCTTCAAATTCTTATGTGGGCTGAGAACCATTGAACTGGATGCTGGAGACTCAAGAGTAAAATACAGTGGAGAATAAGATACAGTGGGTTGTAGAGGGCACCCCAAAAAGCATGTCCCTAGAAATCTGTGATTATGAACTTATTTGGAAAAAGGACCTTTGCAGATATAATTAAACACAGATCCTGAGTTGGGATTATCCTTGTTACCCAAAGAGCCCTCAACCTCAAGACAAGTTTTATTAAGAGATACCCAAAAGGAAAAATACAGGGAAGGGAGCCTTGCAAAGGCAGGGCAAAGGTTTCACCCCATGCAACCACAAGCCTGGGACATGGGGAGCCACCAGAAGCTAGAATAGGCCAGGAAAGGCCCACTGTCCATAGAACTGTCAGAAGGAGGCAGCCGGTAAATACCTTGATTTCCAATTTCTGGCCTCTGATTCTCTGGGAGAGAATACATTTCTGTCATTACAAGCTGTCTGGTTTGTAATTTATTCTAGCAACAATAGGTAGCTAATACACAAGACAAATAGAGGCTCCTGTGTTATAGAGCTTACGTTTTAGTAGAGGGAAAGAGGAGAGAGATATCGCCTGTGGGGAGCTAGTCAGACTGCTTCAAAGCTCAGGAGCATCTAAGGCCACCTGAGGACATGGCTGTGCTTGTCTAGCGCAAGTGCGCAGTGGGAATCAGTTACATAACCAGGACTTGGCACAAGTACACTTGCAGGCTCTGGTTACAGCACTATGCAAGAATGTAAATACGAGATAACGGCCCGTAGAAGAATTTTACAATGAGGAAACAGTGGCTTTTGTGCTCTGCTCTGCTCCATGCTGCCTACTATTGTTGCTGATGTCCTGCACACGTGCATTCTTTAACCTGGGGGCCTCACCCTTGAAAACCTCTCTTGGGCCCCCTGAATGGGCTGACATTGCCCCTCAGGATTTCAGTGGTTTGGGACCAGTTGGTATTTCCTGCCACCTGGTCTTCCCCAGCTTCGTCAGAGTGAGCATGTGAGAGGAGCCAGAGAAACAGCAAAAGAGAAATCAGTTGTTTGAAAACCTAATCTCAGAAGTGGCCTCTATCACCTCTGCCATAATCTGTGGGTCCGTTCATGTTTACAGGGTGAGGCCCACGCACAGTGGGCCTCCAGTGGCTGGGGCTCCATCAACCGAAGTCTGCAACCCTGGGGGAAAACTTTCGTTTAGGATATGGCATTTTTAGGATGCTTATATCTAGTCAACTAATCATGGCTGAGCTGAATCAGTGGATGAGGAACAAAGAATGGAAAGAGGAGTAATGGGCTGACACGATGATGGGTGGTTCGTAGCTGAACCCTCACTCTGCTAAAATCAGGTAAAAGATCCCTGCCCCTGCACCCCAGAAGTGAACCTCTCTAAAGCAGTGGCCTTCATCTACTTGCCCTGTGACAGACCCTCCCTCCGCTGCCTGCGTGGATCGAGCTCTCGGGAAGGCAAACTCAGAGGTGGCTTTTTGCCCTGCCACGTGGAAACATATGCCTCCAACCCGCTGCGGAAATATATCAGTGTGCTGGCTCCGTAGGGGAACCGCGCTGCCTTGGAGAGCGGAGAGGAGATCATGGAATTCCTGCGGCCCCGCCATCATCTTCAAGCCAGCAATCGTGAATTATGACAGCGGGATTAGGGGCCCGTGGAAACTTGGAGGTCACCCATGAAGACATCTGAACGTTTGTTTTCTAGCTCTAGCCTGGGTTTTCGGCTACGTGGTACACTTAATCCAACATGAAGTATTGCACATGAGAGTTTCTCCTTGACCGTGGGCCTCCGCATTCTCCAGTGGTCTCTGGCACCCAGTAGGCACCTTGCACGATGGCCCTGGGGGTGTGTTGCTAAGCCTTTTTATTTTGCACTCTGTATTTTGCACTCTTTTATTTTGCTCTTGGGAGTTTGTGCTGGAACGCGAGGGCTGGGGAGTCTGAAGCACGCCCTGGGTCTGTCAGTTAAGCTGTGAGGCAGGCTGCACAGATGGGTTCCCGGGAGTGGGGGTGGGAGATGATTGGTGTGGGGAGGGTAAGAGCAGGCTTCTCAGATTAGCCCAGCTACCGGGGGTGAAGATACTGAGCTTCAGAGGCAGCCTCCCAAACTTAAGGCTATTAAGTTATTATGGCTGATCACTTTCAAGGGGCCTCGGCTGGCAGGCTTCCTCTAATTGGCAGTGCTCCTGTGATTTTATGGGAATGGGGCCGGGATACCCAGGGAAGGCTGAGATCACTGAAAAAGTAGCCCCGCCTGCGGCCCGGTGGAGGCCAGATGAGTTGAGGTGAATTATTATGCTGACATCGTGGTAGGCCCATCTGTAATCTCTTACAGTCCTTGTTCCCCTGGGTCCTCGTGTGCAGCTGACCCGGGCTCTTCACGGGCTGCCTCTCTTCACAGGGAGGGGGAGGGAGGCCAAGGTGAAGGTCGGGGGGCTGCTGAGGACTGGGAGTCCCCATTGACCTCCCCGACTGAACCCCTCCGCCCTTTCTTGCAATCTCTTTGCATCCCAGCGGTGGTGAGGGAGCTGGCAGCTGGTGTGATGGAGCAGCATCCTCGTCAGGGGGGTGGGCTGCCCGCACGCTGGGCAGAGGCAGAAATGCTGCTGCGCCCACCGCCGGGGGCCCCAGAATTCCCAGGTGGGGAAGCTGCAGAGGCGCTTCATTTGCATACCAACCCTACTGTTTTTATTTAGGATGTGTGTGTGTGTGTGTGTGTGGACTGCTTTGCAGGTGTCTCCTATTATGAGTTTGGCTGCTACAACAGAAACCTAATATGATACGGACTTAAGCAACACAAAAATCCACATCTCTCTCCCACAAAGCTCTTGGGTCACAGGCCAGCTGGCTGCACAGCAACCAGAGACCCCAGGTCTTCTCTATCTCATTCCTTTGAACCCCACATTCAGAGCTTCCAATGTAACACACAGAATTACTGCTCCTGCCCCGACCGCTGCCTCTGCATTCCAGCAAGAGGGAAACAACAAAAGGACAATGAGTGTGTTGATTCTGTGCCTTTGAGAGCACCATTTGGAAATGACTCGCACCGCTTCAGTCCCATTACATGGATCAGAGTCTGCATGACTGTATCTCACTGCAGAGTTGAGAAGTGTGGTCTTTATTCTGGGCAATCATGCATCCAGGTATAGTTTGTTACTACAGAAGGGAAGTGAGGAGTGAGTCCCACAGAGGAGGAAGGACAGAGCACCACAGCCTCAGCCTCGCCTCTCCTGGGCACGCCCTCCGGCTGCAGAGACCACTGTCCTTCCTCATCTCTTAGTGTCCAAGGCAGTGTCAGCGTCCACTTCCTCCAGGCAGACTCTGAAGAGCTGTTCTGGCCACTGGCCGCTGGGATAAGCTGCCTCTGATCCACCTTCTCTCCACCAGGTACTCAGCTATTCTGAAGTGTCGCCAGCTGACGCCATGTGTCCTCAGCCAGAGACCCCGTTTACTCCCTAGTGGGTACCAAAGCCGCAACCTCCAGTCCCCATCTGCATCAGGCAGCACCCACGGTCATGCTCCAGTTGTTGGTACCATGTTGACCAGCAACTAGCCTAGTGACGACAGGACTTCATTCCGCTCTCTTCCCTAGCCCCAGAGCTTGGCCCCTCTTTTCTACCTCAGTGACTAACTGCTCTGTGAATAGAGATCTTCTGGCATCATCAGAATAATACAGCAATAATAAATAGTAAAGCAATAATGGGAATCATTTTCCCTGCTGTTCACTGAGGACTCACGTGAGCTATGCAAATGTCACACAACAGTCATCTCAAACAGGAATTGGCAGACTTGTTCTGCAAAGCACGGCATCATAAAGATTCTTGGCTTTGTGAGCCAGGTCTCTGTCACAATCACTCAACTTGGTCACTGCAGCACAAAAACAACCAAAGATGATTTATAAATGAGCAAGCAGGGCAGTGTACAAATAAAACTTTATTTACAAAAGTAGGTGCAGGGCAGATGTGGTCATAAGGTTATCATTTGCTAGCTCTTTCCTAAAACAATCAGAAGTCCTCTGCTGGGGCAGAAAAGATCTAGAGGCTTCTTATAGTGCTGGGTTGTGGGCATTTGATAGGAAGAAGAAGAAGAGCCAGTGTCCAGGCCTGAAGAAGCACCATTTGGGGTGCTGTCCCACCTCAGTCCTCCTCTGTATAGGCGAGGGGCCGGCAGAGCTGTGGTGGTCTCCACATGGTCACCCTTAGTCGGTGACTCAGGGGGCAGGGTGAACACTGACCTGAGGTCACACTGGGAATCGGGACTCCGCCCCTTTCCCAACCTCAAACTAAATGCACACAGACGTGTGAGCTGGATGAGTGGGGTGGGCTGGCTGCAGAGCACTCAAACGGATGCCAAGTGGGGAGCAGCCATGGAGGGGCCTCAGCTCCCCAGACCTGCAGGCAGACCCCCCACTGGGGACCAGGTACCCTGTTTCTTCCTTTCTCCTCCAGGGGCTCCCAAGCTTGCATTCCAGGGCTCTTTTTTCCAAAGGAGCTCAGCTCAATGAAGAATGTGGAATACTTGAAATTTCCACTCACACACTCCTGGAAAAAAACACATTAACCTTTAAGCAGGGAATAATGGCTTCATTTTCAAGTGACTTTATGGATTAACCCTCAGCAAGCACTTTCTGGAGAAGGAAGATGGTCATGACCAGGGCCCAGTGGATACAAAAGAGGAAGAAAAATAAAAACTGGCAGAAGTCTCTAGCTGTCTGAATAAAGGCAGGTAAGCATGCCCAGCAGCAGCTACACCACCACCCCTCACCGGTGGCGGCAGGACGCCAGAACTGTCCCGCAGGAAGAACACGCCCTGTGGAGCAAAGTCAAGGCCGTCTCTCTAGGACCTGCTGCCGGCTGGCGGAACTGAGTGGGCAGCTGCTCTTGGGCAGCAGGACCAGTCGATGGCTATGGCAAGTCAACCTCCTGGATCAATCTCGCCCTGGGCCGCTCTGTCGACCCCTCACCCCTGAGACATTGAGTCCAAGGGGCGTGCACTGGAGACAAGCACAGAACCTGGCTCCTTCGGGGCAGTCACAAAGTATTGGCTGCATAAAGGCTCCTAGACATCCTATCTGAAAGAAATCTGTTTAACTTTGTTCAACATCATTATTTTCATTATTATTCCAGCCACAAGAGCCACCCCTTGCCCTCTCCTTTACAAATGGTGTGGATGACACCGTGAATACTAATCCACAGAAGACGCCTTGGAAAATGCAGACCTCAAAACACACCTCCAAGATCATCTGAGCTGCAGAAAGGACCAGAGCTCACTTTTTATCTTCTAATTCATGCCATCATTTTTCACACATGCACCCATTCCTTCACCCACCGTCACGCATGCATCTGCACAGGTTTCTGAGGCCAGGTGCTGTGAAGGCCCAGGGGCAAACCTGAGCGCCTCTCTGCTTCTGCCCAGCTTCCAGATGGCAGGGAAGATGGCAACGCTCACACGTTACGGAATACAAAAAGCACCTGTGTAGTGTTCCTGGACATCAAAGACCCAATTTCCAAAGATGCTTTTTGAAAATAATTACAGAGGAATTTCAAAAGCCTACCAAAAAGTATCAACGTTTAGGCATCAGAAGCAGCTTGAAAGAGGGGCTGGGAGGAGGGATGCAGGAAGATGGCAGCAGGTGGGTTTGTCTTGTGAGAACGGCACCCTTGGCCTACCTCTCGGCCCAGGGCAGGCTCACCTCGCAAGGCCACCTCTTCCTGGCGAGCTTACAGCAGCTGAGCACAAGCCCGCCTGGTGGCCACATCTGCACTCCCTGCTTTTCAAAGGGAGGCTTTGAGCCCCTCAGCCACACCTTTCTTCTCTGCCGGTTTCTCTCCTGCCTTTTCCAGAAGGTTCTGTGCCTCTGGCCCTTTGCAGGGTGCAGAGCTCCTGCTGCTGCCAACAGCTGCCTGGTACCATGAAACCAGCCATAGGGTGGCTGTGGCCAGCACAGAGGGAGGCTCTAGTGTGCCCTCAGAGTCCTGGTCTGGCCTCCATGGCCCTCAGTTCATCTGGAACCCCAGGACCTCCACGGAAAAACACATGGATGGTGCAACCGTTTGAAACTGTTTCTGCAGAACCGGTCTTTATGAGTTTCCTCTGGGTGTTGTGATAAGTCTCTGCAAAATTAGTAGTGTCAAATAATACAAATTATTTATCTTACAGTGCTACAATCAAGATGGCAACAGAGCTGTCTTCCTGTGGCGGCTTTAGGAAACAAATATGCTTCTTGGTTATTTCTAGGTTCTAGACATGGCCTGCTGCCTTTGGCTTGTGGCCCCTGCCTCTGTCTTCAAAGTCAGTAGTATAGTATCTTCCAGTCACTCTGATTCTGTCCTCCTGCCCTTTACTTATAAGGACCTGTGGTTACAAGGACTCATGCAGATCAACCAGGATAGTCACCCTTCAAGGTTCTCCACTACATCTGAAAAGTCTTTTGTTGGCTGTTACCTGCTACCAGTCTATCCCTCAGACCTCTGGACCTGTCTGATGTCCCTGTCCCACTATTAAAGATATTAGCCAGGGCCTGGGGGTCTGAGGGCAAAAGTGATGGGAGAATTTGCTCCTGCCTTTCAGGGTACATCAGACTGTCCAGTTCCTCTCACCTTGGACACAGTGTTTAATCTACAAACGGGGCTCCTGAGAGCAGCTCCTCGGACACAGAGGCAGTGCCATGATCAGTGGCTAAAGAGTCAACTCTTGCGCTGAGTGGCTGTGGCTGCCAGGGTTAATTCCCTCCTATGTCGCGTTGGTAGCTGGGGTCCTCTTTTCAGGAGGCCTGTAGAACGTCCCCCGAAATCGCAGAGGTGAGGGAGGGTTAGGATGGCACCTTGCTGGTCTTTCTGGCACAGCCTGGCGGGTTGGCCCCTTTTTGCCACCCCTGAACCACTGCAGGCACTGGTTCTTAGCCCCTAACAATCACCACCACATGCATCATTTCCCGGGGTTGCCCCATCGGCCCCCTGCCAAGCACCTCATCAAAGGCTGAATTCTGTTCTCCACTCAGCCACACCAAGGAGGGTGCTGGGAACACCCCTGTGTCACACAAGCAAGGATCTCCGAGGGATCTAATGACACCGCAGCAAAGCAGCCTGGTTTGGATTTGAGTGCAAGTTGTTTTTGACTCCTGGGCCTGTTCTGATTTTGTTTGGGTTGGGGGTCAGGGAGGCCATGGGTTTTTTGTGACCCTGAGACCAAATCCAGGGCCTCGTACATGCTAGAGAAGCACTCTTCCACTGAGGTACACCTGTTCTTGAGCCTGTGATTTTAGAGAAAAAAGCAAAACAGGAAAAAGAGTAGAAATAATACACAATTTCAAAAAAAATAAATAACAGTGAGAAATCACTAGTTGATAAATTACATATTGTTATCTTAGAAGTAGTTGTTCAAGTTACAAAATCAATGCATAAAAAATGAACAATCAAACAATGACAGTATAAACTATTGTGTTTGATACCTAACAAAAACTTAGTGGTATGGTTATTACCTTGCAGACTTAAACACACATAGAGTTATATCCTTTAGAGCACTCTCCCTTTCTTTATTACAATATCTAGTATACATTTTGGATATTATTACTCTTTAAGTTTTCTATTACTATTTTTTATTCTAGCGAGACAATATTTACAAATATGAGTCTGATTTATCTCACTTATGAAGATGGTCTCAAGTTGCCTTCATTTATCGATAAAAGCCTCAAGATCATCCTGTTTTATAGCTGAGTAAAAGAGTCTGTATTTTTAATGTACATTTGATAGTGAAATCCAAATATTGAATACTGTAATCCCAGTATTATAATCCCTTTTTAAATCTGCCTCACAGCTCGGGAAGTTGTATTTGTAATCTCATAGAAATGTTATGGGAATTCCAGCAAGTTCGTTTCAATCTGCTACTTCCAAGGCAACCCATGGCGAGAGTAAAGATGCTAAGATATATCAAAGTTATGGGCAGCCAAGGGGTCCTAAGTGCAATCCAAGTGAGGGTCTAAGGACAAAGGCTGGACCCAAGGCCTCTCCCAGAATGTATTAGGAGCTGCTTTGGGTTGTCAGGGAGGACGGTGGGAACCACATGAGGAACGGGAGCTGGTCAGCCAGGTGGGGAGAAAACCACCTTTGCAAGACACAAGAAGATACTCAGAAAGACCAGTCTGCGCGACTCCGCTGGGGTAGTGTATGAAAGGACTTAGGGGGCTGTCGCTTCAGTTTCTGACAGGTCAACTTGGGTACCTTGGGGAGTCATGGCCTTTTATTTTGAGGCTGGTACCCAGCTGACCTTCCTGGAGCTCACTAGTTCTGCCATCCCGCTGTGTTCAATCATTCTTCAGGGAACACAATGCGAGGAAACAGGAAATTGTCGGTTGGCCTAAAAGATTACATATTAGTACCTCGACTGGCCTTATTTGTATTGTTTAGAGCCAATTGAAGACAGAAGGAAAAGGCACAGCCTGCTCGGTACATATCAGTACACGGAAATAAGCCTCAGTTTAACGAATGCTGCAGTGGTGGGTCTGTATTTCAGGAGAGGTGCCACATCAACCCAGCATAGCGACCACGGCTGTCTGCCACAGTGTCCTCCATTCATTCCTTGGCTCCACTCCTATTTACTGAATACTTATTCTGCATGGCCTGGGGGCCTACATTAGACACCCGCTTCTAGAGGGGCTGAGAGAAGAGGGGGCGACAACAATCCCCAGAGAGGGTTCACTCAGTGCCAGGCCTGGTGATCCCACGTGCAAAGACTTCCATCCATTTCCCGGACGACAGTTGGGATCTCAGCATCCCAGCATGGAGCTCCAGGCGAGCTCGGCCCCTGCGAGAACAGGGAAGCAGGAGAGCTGTATTGTACCCCAGCCTTGAGTGCTCTGCTCGTCCCCCACTGACGCCAGCCTGTGGCCCAAAGACCCAAGCAGCTCTGCAAGCCATGTCTGCTGCTCTCTGCTTGAAGCCACATAAATACCACAGCCGCCAAAGACCAATTGATTGTGGTCTTAGCCCTTTGCCTAGCAACCTGGGCAAACATGCTCTCTAGTGGCCTGTGTTTATTCTCTGGCTGCCCCAACAAACTCTCTCCTGTGTCTCAAGGTCTCGACTGCCATCTTTTTATTAAAAGCAGAAAAAGAACAGCAAGAAGAAGAAGAAGAAGAAGAAATCACCCTTCTCTCCCCCAGGCTCTCCAGGCTTGGAGTCTTCGCCCTGTATTTCTGCTATGAGACACATCCGAGCCTCTTTGTGTTGTTCACCAGGGAGAGCCCAATAGATGCAGGGGTTTTTCCAGGACCCCGTGGCCCTTTACCCTCCATGCATTCATCCAGGACTTCCTTCCATGTGCTGGGCTGGAGTCTGACAGCTGCTAGACATCAGACGCGTGATGCAAACCAAGAAGACAGAATCCCTGGCTGCGTGGTGTCTTAAGCAAGGAAAGATACGTGGCTGCCGGTACTATGGTCCCTCAAATGCCCCAAAACAAGCACAGGTAGATCCAAGTGCTCAGAGCCGAGCCCCATACCTCACTCAGCGTATGCTTTGTCAGGCCTCGAGAGCCTCCTGAG